TGCATAAAAATTGTAAGAAGAGACTCTAATTGATAGCTTTAATAGAAATATTATGACTCAAACATATAAGGAATGTTGCATGAAACAAAAAATATTGTACCTACAAAGAAAAATTTACCAGTAGGAGGGGTGTCTGATATTGCTGAATGTCCATATGGCCATATTCTTTACAAACACAAGCAATGGATACTCCTGAATCCCATTTCTCAATCAACTTTGGTTCTACATTCAAGTTTTTCCTTTTTAATTTTTTGTCCATGGTATATTAATTAAATAAACTGTAACAAAACAAACCAATTACAGCACCATAAAAATTTAATTTTCAGTAGAATGAGCTATGTGCTAAATACATGTTACATTCAAAGCATAACTGATGAAAGTGTATATACATACAAGCTAAATCAACCAGAGTATTATGGAGAAGTAGCCACATATTAACCAGAGAACAACAGGAAAGCAATGAAGAATATTATCCATTAAATCTGAAATCTGTTAAATTGAGGAATTATTGTATCTGTAAAATTTCATACCCATGCTGTAGCCAGTGGAAAACAATGGTTCCATCTGCCACCATGACACTAACTGTTACTGCTGAAGCTGTTACCCATAGAATACTTAATCCAATAGATATCCACAGCGTATAGACTACCCTTTGCTGGGCCAATGATCCACCAGAAACCAGAAAAGCCTATAAACAGTAACGTTGAATGGATACATAAGAAAAAAATTCTTGTTTGACTCAGCCCACAGAATTATTAATGAAGAAAACCATTAGAGGTTTGAATATTAGAGTTGATTTTGCCAGTGAAGTGACAAAAATAGGGCATGTAGGAGTCTAAATCCTTTCATGTTATCGTTGGTCAACTGCAAAATGTTTTTTCAAATGTCTCGAAAACCATTCAAAATATTAGCATATTCTATTAGCATAAAATATTTGTGCACTTAACAGCTACAAGTTTTGTCTGAAATATTTCTTAATTAGGTCAATATTTAACTACTAGATAAAAGCTAACATTCATTTAAGTTTTCTGTTGAAGTACCAGTTATAAGAAGCCAATAATGAGCAAATTCATATTGAATTATTAAGTCTTAAAATGGTCTATCACCTAAAACCCAACATTAGTTTCAGAAAGTGAATTACAAAGCAGGAAAGATTTGAAAGGAAAGATAAAATGCTTGTTAACTGCATCTTTTCCTCTTCTCATAAAGGATATCTAAAATATTTTGACATAACAAGAATATATCAGGTCATGCACAAAACACTTATCATAGATAAATTTATGGCCCTTAAATTAGTATCCTCAGACTTGTACAGTAATTCTGAAGTAAAGAATGCAGAAAGGACAAGGTACAATCTTTATCTTCTTTTATTTAGTTAAATAAGATTTTATTTCCAAAATCTGGCCAACACAGGCAAAATACTTACCCTTTCCATCAAACTTTGAAGTTGTTCATTTTCATTGATCCTAAATAAGTATAAAGCATACAAATATGCTGAAAAATGAAGAAAACTTGGCACAATGTAGCTGAAGGTTATGTTACCATAGCAAATGAATTCATGATCTTTAACTTCAACAGTTGACTCATTTTTGTAGTCAAAACCTCGATCTCTCCTGAAACAAAATTTTACTTCGAAATTAGGCATCACTAAGTGAGCACCATGCAGCTAACTAATTACAAAAGCTCAGTCAGTAAAATAGCTGAGTATAAGGTGCATGATCATGTTCTATTTCCAGCAATGGCAAAAATTCACTCTCACCAGCACATCCAGACTGTTTCTGGGGCTCATCCAGCCACATTTTCAAAGGGTAGACCACCAGAGATTCATTTACTGGGAACTAAGTGACAAGAGTATGAATCTTACAGCTAACTCCCATTTGATTCCCAGGTTAAGAATGCATGGATCTTTATCTCTACTCCTCCTGCATGCCTTCACGATGTTGTACTTTGTTGTGAGGACAATTTCCTTAAGTTGCACTACTCAGGAGATCCTAAATACCCCCATCGCAGTCAGAATACGGCATCAATTTTACGACTACTTCTCATAAGAGAAAAAAATATTCATAATTACTTTCCTCAGTGAAATAGTTTTCCTAGTCCCCTTTTATTCCTATTTTGTGATTCAATTTTCTCTGACCATCATCATCATCATCAGCAGCAGGCCACCACCACCACCAATTGCCCTCAATTCTTCTCCAAGAAAGAAGCATTTCTTTGTCTTTGCCTGTATAAGTAATCCTTTCTGTTTAGGACATGAACAATTTTCCCACCTTTTTGATCATGGGGGGCTCTTGAATAATTTCTCTTTTCTGTCAAAAATATATATTTGTCAACATTTTTTTTTCTAAAATGCACCAAAATATTGCATGTTTTGTGTTCGCCCCATCCCTGCCATTTATGGTCAAGAGAACTGAAATAAAATTTGTATTTAATGAAAGAAACTTTCTCTTCATGTACAACTATTTTTGTCAGACACAACATTCAGGAAATAAAGACCATGGAAGATGACCTAAGAGGTATTGTGTGTGCACTTGTGCCTGTGTGTGCATGTGAGAATGCTCAAGAACATGCACTCTCATGGAGGAAACTCATACCTGAAACATGTCATGTACTGTAGGATATAACCCACACACATCAATGCCAACACAAGAACCAAATGCTTGTAGCCACAGCAAGACAGGATACAACAACGCTCTGCATTTTCTACAGCTGATGGCCGGAGACCCATGATACACAGAAGTCTTGAGTATGGACGCAAGATCTTGCACTGGCAGTAGTACAATAAAGCTGAAGTGCTGAGGGACTCTTGGTGTACTGATTCTGTAATCTGGACATACTGCAAGTGAGATCGGAAAACACAGTCTAGTTGTAAGATTTAAGGCTTTCACGGCGGTGACTATGAAGAAAGCAGTCTTTTGGGATTTGGCACCGTGTATATGTGGTGTTAACCGACGTTCCTCCGAAACGTCAGTTAACACCACATATACACGGTGCAAAATCCCAAAAACTGCTTTCTTTACAGTCTAGTTATTTCACATGGTGGAATTAAGTAAATTTAAATTGACAGAACAATTTAACTTTTAGTAATTAGTCACATAGTTTAGTATGTGGAGAACAGAAATAGCAGGAAGTTGGGATACTGCTTTCTTTACAGTCTAGTTATTTCACATGGTGGAATTAAGTAAATTTAAATTGACAGAACAATTTAACTTTTAGTAATTAGTCACATAGTTTAGTATGTGGAGAACAGAAATAGCAGGAAGTTGGGATACTGCTTTCTTTACAGTCTAGTTATTTCACATGGTGGAATTAAGTAAATTTAAATTGACAGAACAATTTAACTTTTAGTAATTAGTCACATAGTTTAGTATGTGGAGAACAGAAATAGCAGGAAGTTGGGATACTGCTTTCTTTACAGTCTAGTTATTTCACATGGTGGAATTAAGTAAATTTAAATTGACAGAACAATTTAACTTTTAGTAATTAGTCACATAGTTTAGTATGTGGAGAACAGAAATAGCAGGAAGTTGGGATACTGCTTTCTTTACAGTCTAGTTATTTCACATGGTGAAATTAAGTAAATTTAAATTGACAGAACAATTTAACTTTTAGTAATTAGTCACATAGTTTAGTATGTGGAGAACAGAAATAGCAGGAAGTTGGGATACTGGATGAAGAGTGGTAAGACTGACAGCTTCCAGACTTTCTTAGTCTCCATACATACACATAAAATGACCTACATGCATAGATATATGAATGTTTTGGTTTACTGTCAATATATCTGTACAACAATCACATGGCTAACCGAAGTTTTATTATATTATTTAACTTGCATGCTCAGAAATCTGTGATATTCAACTGATGAAGAAAGAAATTTTGATTACGTGCTCATAGTTTGAAATGATTGTATCTCTCTGGAAGTTTCCTTCTTATGCTGTTTCCAAATTTACCATTGTGTAAAGTGTACAGAGCAGTATAGTTTGCTTGTGGAAGAGAAATGAAAGTTATCACATAAACTTACAAATAAATGTGGCAGATGACCAGCAAAGAATGAAAAACAGAGGACAAAATAAGCAATTAATAATACATCTACCAGGTACATGTTTCATGAAAGAAAGGTGACAAGTGTGTCTTATCTGGTAATCCCTCCCCTTCTCATCAGAATCTTAAGGATCTATCATAATGAATTTCTTATGCTTCTTCATGGTGACTTCCCCAGACTATTCTTACACTCCTGCTATGATGCAGCAAGTAAAATTTTAAAGGGCTTAAATAGGTATGGCCATCATTTTTCCCATACTTAGGCATTTAGTAAATCATAATAATAATTAACAGGATCTTCACTTCATTACAACTTCTAGAGTGGCATTTGAGCCAAACAAGTTTCCTGTTAAATGAGCATTTGAGGCTCTTTCTGTGGGATAAGTGATCAGAACAGGAAATTAATCAATCACCTCAATCTGTCAGCATTAATTCCACTTCCCCATATGCCTTATGGCATGATGCTCAGGCACAGGGGTAAGTTTACATTTATATGTAATGGAAAAATGAAACAAATATAAAACTATAAAAGACAAGTCCATCCAATGTGACTATTTCATTTATCTCACTTGATGATTCAAGCACAGCGGGCCAAGAAATCATAATGGACAATATTAAGAATCTCCCCATTCAAGTTACATAGGAGGCACAACATCAGCCACCTTGAAGAGAGATGACAGAGGTTATTGACACGAACCGTATGGTTTATGAATTTTAATTTTTAACATAGTTTTAAAACTTTAAAACAACTTTAAATACAGTGCGTACAATCAAGTGCGCTCCGCGGCTGAACTGGAACATTGTGTACTTGGACATTACATGTGTATTTGATTGACAACTGTTGTGATAGTGGTTTCAAAAAAGTGTCTGGTGCCTCTGAAGATGATCCAAATGGATCGAAACATGTCAGACTAGTGAATCATCAAGTGAGATTACTGAAATAGTCACATTGGATGGACTTGTCTTTTATTCATTCATTCATTCATTTATTTATAGTTCCAAAAAAATCCATAGAGGCATCTGCCTCAGATATAGAACAAGTCAATAATACAATATAGCATATAAATATACATACATAATCAGATAGTCATCATCGTCAAAATTTAAATATTCAATACAACAAAACTACTGTACAGCAATACATTCCATATATCAAAATAACATATAAAATTACATATACGATCAAAGACCACCAAGATCCTTAATATAGTAATATAAAATCTATTTTCTTAATATATAATACACCTGTATCATAACAGTAATAGCACCTTTTTCCTGAGTATTTATTCCATAGTCCATTGCATTCTAGCAATAGGCAACAGTGTTCATTTAAATATACATTTTATTCATACATTCATTCATTCATTTATTACAGTTAAAAAATCCACAAAGGGGTCTGCTTCAAAATATAGAAGAAGTCAGCAGCGCAATATAACACATAAATATACATGCATAATCAGATAGTCATCATCATCAAAATTTAAAATACAACACAACAAAACTACTGTACAACAATACATTTCATATATCAAAATAACATTTAAAATTACATACATGATTAAAAGACCGCCAAGCCTCTTAATATAGTAATATAAAATCTATTTTCTTAATATATAATACACCTGTATCATAACAGTGATAGCACCTTTTTCCTGAGTATTTATTCCATAGTCCATTGCATTCTAGCAATAGGCAACAGTGTTCATTTAAATATACATTTTATTCATACATTCATTCATTCATTTATTACAGTTAAAAAATCCACAAAGGGGTCTGCTTCAAAATATAGAAGAAGTCAGCAGCGCAATATAACACATAAATATACATGCATAATCAGATAGTCATCATCATCAAAATTTAAAATACAACACAACAAAACTACTGTACAACAATACATTTCATATATCAAAATAACATTTAAAATTACATACATGATTAAAAGACCGCCAAGCCTCTTAATATAGTAATATAAAATCTATTTTCTTAATATATGATACACCTATATTACAGCAGTGATAGCACTGTTAATTGTAACTGTTAGTGTGACGGACCAAAATGAAACGAATCAAATTCGGAAAAATGAAACCTCAAATCCTGAAGTCTTCAACAATATCCACCTATAAACTGACTATTATACCACGTTTATATAGCATTACTCACTTCACTGTCAATTTCGTCTGTCTTCAGTATTGCTATGGTAGCTTCAGGAGTAGCATTGACTTCAGCACTGCCATTTCCAGACATTGCCTACATAAATGAAAGTTACAACAATATATTGAAACTGACACTATTTTTTAAAGTTGAGGGTTTATTTTATCAGCACAGTGTTAATTCTGCACATTTTGCTCATTTCGATTACCACATTTCCCCAGTATGGTAACTGAATGTTTTACAATGGAAACATAATGATAATGAAGTTTCTTTACGTATGGTAACTAATTTAGATGGTGTTCTGTAGCTGATTCTAAGTCACATACAAAGTACATAGCATAGAGATGTAACAAAGAAATGATAATAATAACAAACAAGAAATAGCCTTTGATGGAAAGTATCCAGTCTACTTTATTTTTTTAATGTAGTGCACCACTGCAGGTATTTAATTTTCTGTTAGTGTGAACAGTAAAACCTTAACAGAGATTATGTATCCATTCAGTATAAATTTATGCATAGTTTTTTTTCATATTGCCGATTTTAATACTTACTAACTAACAAGGAATGAATGTACGTGAATTTAACCCTTTAAGACTCAATTTATTCTAAATAATACATGAAAATTCAGTTTGTGCTTCCTTCTCTTTCAGCACACTATAGCTTCACTACAAAGCTCAGCTGGTTAATGCTGTTTAGGAAGACAATCGAGAACCATATGAAACACACAAATACAAATACAAATATCAAAGCAGGTGGTACATATAAAACCACTGGGCCTTGAAGTATGAATATATGTTTATTACGGGCCCTAAGGCTGTAGTTTATCTTAGTCTTAATTTTTTAGTTCATTTACAATAAGGTACCTCCAGAGTTAAAAATATCACTACTGTTTCTCCCATGAGCTACACTTTCTTCTGCTAAAAGTAATTTCAAGAGTAAGGATGTTGGCATATCACTAGTAATTCCTTCTGAGAAACGCACTTGGTATACACTGCATATCTTTATACGTTTGTTCCTTGCATGTTATTAAATATGCACCATAAAGAAAATTTATTCACATACTATATTCAGTTACTTTTAGGAAGGCCTTCAATTTTGTCATGATTAATACTAATTTTTGTAAGATAAAATCTTCTTTTTGGAAGAATGATATTGAGCTTCATATAAAGTAGAGGCTATGCTGAACCGAAATGGTTCAAAATTAAGTTTGCTCCTCAGCTTTTAGTGTGATCTCCCAACACCTAATTTGACTGAAGCGCGACGAGTATTTTCGAAGTATAAACACGCAGATGGAGACACAGTTTCTTCACTACGTTTTATTTTATGCACAGTATTGACGAGACTCAAAGAAGGACAGTTGCACACATATATATGGCGCTTACTTTATCATTTCAACCAGAAATCCTTAGTTGCCCAGTCTTGTGAACTGAACTTCATTATCTATATCATATATCTATGTCATATCTGACAACTCGTTTACGATGGATAACGGCCTCGATCAATTATGCATCTTTCAAATACGGAACCTTTCTTCAGAATTCTGAATTATTTGCGAGAAGTATGTTATTGCTCTTTTCTCAAAAAACAGAACAGCATATTCTGGAGGTACCCAGTTTGAGTTCTTGGTCGGAACTGATTATCCCGTACGTTTTCCTTGCTTTGCTGAATTTTTCAGGAAAAAGTAAAGATTATATTAATTACCGTCAAATACGATACTACTTCCCCCTCAACCCTTTTGAGTCGTTATTCAAAATTATCCTCAATTTTAAATGTTATAATATATTAATTTGAAAAAATCGTAGTTAAGTGACATCCAGAACAACCCTATCAAGAAATTTCAGGAAGCTGTCACATTCCGATCAATAGAGGAAATCAAAATTTCTGACGTCAGGGTGTCCATGAATAAAATTTACATTTACGGCCGTTCACAGCTACGAAGTCATTAAGAAGACAATCAAAGACGCACTCGCATTATCGCACTATATCTATCTCCTTTAGCCAAACAACAAGACGAGTCATAACTGCCCTAATTTTTTGCCGAAACAATGCTGTGGGAACTCTAGTGCAGGTTACATGTAATGTTGTTTGTCATCAACAAACGCATTTTTCTTACACACTATCCGTTCTGGAAATTCATTACATATATAAACCAACGTATCTGAAATGAAGTTGAAATTGTATTTGTTTGAAAAGCACGCAATTACAGCAATGATTATAATTTTACTAATACTTGCAGCACGAGTTCTCAGTGAGGTGTCCAGTGAGTGACACGTGGCGGTTCTATTGTGCTTAATAAATCATAACTGACTCATATAATTATCACTTACTAAGGAATTAAAAGTGGACATCTTACGTGTAGTAAGCAGGAACTTTAATTGCTTGACAGATTTTAAAAATCTGAGGCAACTGGAAACGTACTCTTCGAACAAGCAGTCTAGAATCAAGGGTCACCAGCTTGAAAAAACGATATATAAAAACTCATCTATTTATCTCCGTATGTCATAATCTTGCCAGTATGGCCATCTGCTGGAAGAGATAAAATTTGAAGTCATGATTTTTAACTTCATGTTTGAACTCACACCATTATACTTCTAATCATATAATAGATTTCATAGCCATCTGAATATAGTATCAATATATATTCTTTATATTTCAGTTAGCCCGGCATGCTTCGGTTCTTCGACCAGCTCAAGAAATTTTACTCAGTTCATTAAGAATACTGGCCATTTCACTATCGATGAAAATTGTGTCGTGACATACACTGAGAACATTATATGTTATGTCGCTATCGCTACAGTTGTGGGAAGAAAAAAGAAATTCAGAGTCATAAGAAGAATATTTTTTTGCAGCTGTGTCAAAATTTGCAAGTCTTTCATTCACTTTGGTGGCCAAAACATCATAAGCCAGTTATTTCTTGTCTCTGTCGCTGAAATATTTTTATTTCGCTTATCAAACGCATTCTGCTCTTCGATATAACACAACGAAGAAACTCCTTTGACCACTTAGCTATGATATAAAACTGACGAACTTAAAACAGTGACAAGTGTAACAAAAAAAAATACTGACTAAAATTTATAACAACATAACAAAAATCAAGAATACAACTGAGTCAATTCCGTGTGAAACGTCCTATACGGGGCAGTTCTAACTGCGCACTTAAAATATCAATCTAAACCAGACTTCATTCAGTCCACAAATTTCAGCTGAACACTTCATAGTTTTCTCCCCCCACGTTCAATTCTAACTGTGCAGTTTTGGATCGCACGGTCAGACCTGGAAAAAGAAAAAGAAAGAAAGAAAAAACAGCGTGNNGGGGGGGGGGGGTCCTTGTATGTAGGGTACACGTTCGGAACTACCAAGAGCTATCGAAGGTTTTACATCTCAAATAACCAAATTACTTCAGAATAATATTTAACTGTTCTAGTTGGGATAAGAATATTTTTAAATAGCATATGGCATAATTCGAAATTTTCTTAGTAATTATCGTTAATATGTAGTGTACACAATTTTATAAAATTCTTATACAACTATCATAAAAATTAAATAATTATAGACACGATAAAATGTATTACTCCATGATTTATATGAGAGACTTCAGTAATATTTAACTTTATTAGTTTGTAAGATTTGAGGCTTTCACGGCGGTGACTATGAAGAAAGTCTGCTTTTACCGGTTCTCACGGTCTCTTAGCTTGCAGATTTCTTATATTTTTTCTTCTACCCCGAAGATGGAGGCGATACGTTCCTCCGAAACGTCGGTTAACACCACATATACACGGTGCCAAATCCCAGAAGACTGCTTTCTTTATTAGTTTGGTTTGCATTCATTTGCACCATGATACGTACCGTTGTATAGCGGTTCAAAGAACGTGCATCCATTTTGCCTGTAATATCGGCTATGGAATAAATGGATGCATGTTTGGATGGAGCAGTATACTATAACGCTGTAGACTACGAAGCAAAGGAAAGAAAATGAAACTAAGGAAATAAGAAGTTTTGAAATCCTTTCACGTAATCAGTATCATGGAATAAACTATTTCATTAAAAGCAAAGGTAAAGTTGCCCCTCTGCTTAATTAAGCAACACGCCATGAGGACATGTGGAGGAGTGGAGGCAGTGTGAACCTCGGCGTTGAAAGTGGATGTGAGTGGTCAGCTTCACGCCCCATCAGCTTTACCCATTGGTTATGAGGCTGGGTGGTCTCCAGAGTCAGTCTGGATGCTGTGGAAGAGACATAACCCTTGCCCCTGACGAGAATCGAACTATAATTCCACGGTCGACCAGTTATTAAAAATGTGTCATTTTTAAGACAATTTCCATACAATAATTTTATAAAATTGTATTCATTGCGTGCACGTTCATCAACGTCATATTGAAAAATTTCGTTCTAGTTCTCAAAGTGCAAATTCTTTCACTTTCACGATTGGTTTAAAGTCTATTATTGCGTTTTAAATTCTCATTCTATTACAAAGGCTACACCAAATTCCTTATTACCTTCTGCTCTAACACTGTAACATATAGTGTGTTTGTTTAAGTCCATGATTCCTTTACCCAGCCATCCAATTTCCTGTATGGCTGTGATTTTCATATTGTACTTATCTACCTGTTCTGGTACCGATTTCATGGCACCCGGTTTATTGAGGGTTTTCACAATCCACGTACCTAGAGAGTAGTACATATTCTTTGCCAGTTGTTGTCTTCCATTCTGTTGAGGTTTCCGAGGCTTGATTCCAGGTTTAGAGACATATGTATTTTTTTACTGCGAGAGGTCGTCAGCCTCTTGCCCAATCCACAACCTGGAGGACCAGGGTATCTCTTTTAGTCTGGGTCATCCCATTTGACCTGTCCGGCATGGGTGGCCCTACCAGTAGCTATGCTACCGCCGACAGCACTCTCAGGGTCATTTGACCACGCAAGCCCCTCTACTACGTCAAAGTAGAGACACCATCAGGGGGAGCAATGGCTATACACGTCACAATATTTTAAGTACCTTTAATTCCCTATAATTTAAACGATTTTAATAATTGTGGCTCAGATATTGCTTTGCTCCATCCAGGCAAGTATACGGGTTTTCTGCTTTAAACTGATATTTTCATTTAACACCAGCAAATATGACAAGCCATTTGACCATGTACTGTAATAAGCATTGTTAAATACAGGATATGTTGTTTGATACTGCTTCAATTGTGATTGGCATTCTGTGATTCTATTATTTTCTTTTTAGACACAAAGTAGGGCTGCGCCATAGCTCAAGCGGGTAGTCGCTGGCTTCCCACCGCGGCGGCCTGGGTTCGATCCCGGGGTCTGGTCAAGTGGGATTTGTGGTGGACAAAATGGCGCTGGGGAAGGTTGTCTCAGAGTACTTCGGTTTCCCTTGCCAATCTTCATTCCACCAATTGCCCCACAATCACCCTCACCTATCATCTGGGGCTGTTACAGTAGGGCAGATGTTCCACCCCACTAGCAATAATAATAGATTTCCCAATCTCCTCTATAAGCGACCAATAGTTGGTGTTGCGATTTTTCCCCATGAATTGACTGCTGCTTTTCCATTAAATCATTAAATTCTAAACATAACTTTCCCCCTTATTTCAGCCCTTGGGTCGGCACCATTGTCTCAAATCTGTAGAACATCCTTATGAACTTGTTTGTCCCACATATATCTTGCAATATACCTGCACTTTATTAACACCTCTTAACAGCCATTTATCCACATTAACCAGTACCTATTGTACATGACACCTGAGGGCTGCAATAGCAGAGCCAGAGGAGTTGTCTGTTGACTGGCAACAGCTCTGTGAACATATCCCCCTGTCAACCAATACATAAGCAACAATAGAGGAACTGTTGAAAGTGGTGTTTTCTATGTGTTCTGTGCTGAGGCCATAAAAATGGTGCCGTGTGGAGGCGGATTTGAATACCTCCACCATAACCCTACGAGTCGTAAGAGGCAAGAGAAAGGGAACACAGTGCCTGGGGGTATAACTGGGACAACTTCTTCCTTGGGGATATAAATACGTGGATCTTGCCCTCCAAGATGGGGGAGTCTCGAATCTGAGAAAGTAAAATATGTTCATGAGCACCGAGGGACTCAGACCCAAGAATGACTGCACTGGTGAGGCCCACCAGCATTTGTAAATGACAGACCCATCCTCTCCTCAGAGATGATGTTACATAAGGACTATGACCACAAGAGTTCAGTTGGAAGGAATAATTGCTGGTCATGGGTCTCAAGGGGCTTGATACCAAGACGGACTGATTGGGGGTAAACCACCAGTCATGAAGTAACTCTGACTCTGAAACTGTGGGAAAATATAAGAGGTTTAAATTTGGCAGTGGTCAAGCTTACAACTGTTCGAGTGACTAAGCTGCCATTGTAGCATACGATATGCAAGACAGGCATGGCCTACTTTGCAAAGCCTTTGTTGACAAAAGACTTGTATATAGTGCAAAAGGAAGAATTTTCAATAACATGTTATATGTGTGGTACGTACACTTGATGAAAGGCCAAGCATATTCATAAGAGACAATCCCATCAGAGAGGATGTTACATAAGGGCCATGACCACAAGATATCACTTGAAAAATAAAAAAAACTCTGCAGCACAAACAACCTGTTCAGAGGCTGTAATAGCTGATTCTGGTGGTGAGGTAACTTTACAATTGTAACAGGATGCTGAAATACAGAATGTAAATGATAAAATTGAGAAGAAATGTGCCATGAGGTCTTTACACTACCAGGGTTGATGCTGTATGAGATTAAAGTCTGTCATCAGTTGTCATTGCTTTCATGAAAAATGCTTCTTTAGAAGGGAATTCTGTGTTTTTTTAACAACGGGATGTTGTGATGCCAAGACTGGATTCTGAACATGCAGAATTCTGGTACTGAAATAATGAAACTGTAACATAAGTTACATTATATCATATATCTTTTATAAACCCTTAATTAATAATGTAACTCCCTACATGCACATGCAAGTATGTCTGTGCATGCTTGGGTGTATATATCCACACTTGCATCTGTAACCTTCATATAGAATCTAACACTTGTAAGTGACATGCACTGTCCAGCATCTGAACTACTAACATGAAGTAGATGTGGGTTTGAAGATGCATCAGCATTGATGGCTATTTGCACCCACATACTGGTGTGAAGTAAATTATATTTACTTCCAGAATTCTCATGAGTGAGCTTGTTGATGTGTTATTTTTAAATGAATCAAAACTCTGTATTTTATCATCACAAAAATAATTCCTTCCATTTTTAACAATATACTGCATTGCTTCTGGCCTTTAATTTTTCTTTTGTGAGTTATTTAACATTGCTCTCAGTATGGAGACTGTACAGTGACAGATGGTAGAATGACTTATGAATTATAAATGACTTGGAAGGAAGTGATTGAGGTCTAGATGAGGTACTATTTTGGCATTTGTCTAAAGTGGCTGGGTGAAACCATGAAAGCCTCAGTCAGCATAGACTGTGACCCAGCCGAGATTTGAACCAAGCACCAACTGAAACCTGTTCAGTATGCCTTACTATATTACCTTGAAGTATTTCATTTCATACTAACACAGAGCAGCCTTTGAAACTGGTACATGAAAGCATGTGATATCATGCAAATTTTTACATAATGTTCATGGTAAAGGTAAAGCTGCCCCTGTGCTTAGTTAATTAACTACATCATGAAGACATATGGGAGAGTGGAGGCATAGCACCACTATTCAAGACCTTTGAATTATTCCCACTTACCATTAAATTCAGGTTCTAAAAAGGAAAGAATGTGACAAGTATCTTTTCTAGTTTATTTATAATCATTGGGCCACAAGGTGATTGGACTTGTTGATATCAAACATGAGATTGCTTTATGCATTAAAATAACAAAGACAGAACAAACCTGAAGGACATTAGGATTTTAAAGAATGCTTGCAGATAAATTACATTTGTATAAAATCTAATTTTTATTTATATTTACATGTTTCAAAAATATACAGTAATCAAAATATAAATTTTTGTTTTGATCGCAGGCCAGAAAGATTCTTTGCTGGACGAAGCAATTTTCGCCTCTCCTCATGATGCTTCTTCCCCTGCTCGCGTGTCTTTAAAATTCTCTGCTTCTGTAACAAATCAGAGAAACAAAATACCGAAATAGTAAGTACTTGAATTATATGTGAACAAAATGAGACAGAATGCCAACTAGCCCCATATACAAGTTCAATTTTTTAAAGCCTCCACACAATAAAGAAATCTAATGGATCTGGCAGGGCTTAATACATTCAAGTACACTTTTTGCACTTAATTTAACTGTAATGACAAAACGCCATACAGTCATACAACAAACTCAACACTAATTATGATCATTATATACCACTTCAGCAGGGTTACTATTAATTTAACATGTAAAACATACATGATGGTCTTACCTGTGGGGAGTGTCTGTTCTTGGTTTAAGTAAATATGCAATAACAATAATAAACAGGGGAAAATTACACAAAGAACTTCATATGCTGTATTCTCCATGATATATGTAGCGCAACTGAACTACTCATATGAAGAATGAAATGGGCAGAAAATGGGGGAAATGAAAAATACATATAAAATTATGACCAGGAAACCTCTAGCAAGATACCACTTGTTTCATTAAGAGTTACACTTTTTCTGGCATAAAATTCTCAATTTCTAAGCATGACTTGCTTTTCAGTTCACTCACAACTCACCTTCCCCACAGCAAAAGTGATTTCCCGGTTCCCCATTGAGCTCAGCAATCGCACAGTATCTCTTCCTTCCTGTTGCACACGTTCACCCAGAGAGGAACTGGAAGAGGAAGTACCATGTTTACCTAAATATGATGCACACATTTTTCTGAAATCTGTGCATAAAAGAAAAACAGGCGCATACCACATTCAAGGCTTCTGTTGGGGTAGTGAAATGAATATGTAAGATGCAACAGTACACTTGGCAATACTGTTCCCATGAGCTGTACCATTGCTCACTTTGTTATTACTTCCAGCCTTATTTTATTTTCATTCATTTTTTTAAGCATGGAGTGTTGTGTGTGACAATAGGAGCTACATCATTAGTCTTGTCAGTGTCATTTTCATGAGGTATGTCTTCATGTACTTTGTTTTTCCTTATTTGTTTACCATTCCTTCATTAGCAACAGGTTTCCAGTGCTGTTAAAGAGTTGAGTACTATGACAGATATTGAAAATTAGTAAAATAAAGTAACTATAATCATTTATTACTTGTGAGAAAGTGAAAATTTTAAGAGAAGCAGAAAGAACATGGAATTGTTTAATAGTCAAAAAACTTACTAATGCTGCATCTGAGACTGCAGAGAAAATAAAGATTTTTTTCCTTGGAAGTAGAGGTCAACAGTAGGGCTTCTGTAGCCAAAAACAAAATTTCCACAGGACGAAGAGGAGCCTTATTCATTTTTAGATGATGATAGTTTTTTAACAAAACAATTACTGTGTAAGATGGTGAACAAATACTACGCAAAGACTTCCTAATGCATATGAAGACAGACTGCTATTAGAGTTCAAAAGCATATTTCACTAGACTGAGAATACAGTTCTTAACAAAGTTTCACCAGCTGGACATGAAGACCAAACCCAAATTCTGAAATGCTAATGGACCCAACAGTTAATAAGGGGGCAAATCAGTAATAATAAGAACAGGTGGTATTGAGAGGATGTTGTTTACTGCAATGATAGAAAGCAAAAAATACACATGGCGCTTCAACCCCCCCCCAATTAATGTATCAGGCATATATAAAAGCTTATCCAACATATCTTTAAAGGTGCAACTTACCTTGAATAGGCAACAGCAAGAGTGTTGCATGTTCAATGAAATCAACAATATGACAATTTTGGTTCCCATCACACACTGATAATACAATCCAGCAGCTTTCTAACGACAATGTAACAACCTATGTCACTATCTGATAATGATATCCACAAGAGATATTTTAGACACAGTTTACAAGGGCACAGAAGCCTGATCTGATCTACCACTCACTCACTGAAGATTGGATTAAGTGTGTCTTGCAGTGCCAAACTGGAACTGCAATGAACATCTTCTAGCAGGATGGTGTTTGATGCTCTTGGTGTCCACATGACCAAAGAAGTTAAGTACATTAAATGCCACAAGATAGCTAAATCTACAGGAAGGCTACGTCCCTGGTATCAATGAATGACAAGAGATAATAAAACATCAGGGATAAACGAAAACTATGGGCATGACATGTTATTGTCAAGCAATTCCTGCAATTACTTGTCATGAGTCTTAAATGACATTCATATGCAATGAACTGAAGCTGCAGTTAAGCAACAATACTCCAGAAGGATGGCAAGCAACGACCACCAACTGACTCCTATAGGAAAAATACAAGGGCTGTCTGGAAAGTAACCTTCAGTGAGCTGTTAACAAAATAAACAATGAGAAATACATAATTTATTATATGAAAAATATGTACATACTTAAGCTACTTCTCAATGTAGTCATCACCAAAACTGATGCCCTTGTTGCATCAGGGAATAAGACTTGTATGCCTGTGTCAAAGGAGCCTGCCACCTATGAGCTCAGTCACATTTTGAAACCCTCCATCAACTCATTACTCTTGAAGCGTTGTGATCTCAACCAGGGCTGTAAGAAGGGTGGTTAAACAACTAACAGTTGAAATGCTCCAGCAGTGCTTGAGTGCAAGCAGCTGTATGTGGATGCGCATTGTCATGAAGGAGCACTACAAGTACACCAGATGTCAGCATTTCATGACTTTTTGTAGATTTTAGTGTTTCACAATACACTTCTGATGTTATTGTGGTCCCTTGTTGCATGAATTCTGCCTTCCCATTCTAGAAAACTGCTGCCATCAGATTTCTGGCAGACGTCTGTTTAAACTTTCTGAGCTCGTTTGGTGAATGTGTGCATCCACTGCTTTAACTGCTCTTTGGTTTCACCATTCACAAATAAAACTCAGGTTTCATGACCTGTTGTGATGTGTTTAGAAATTCATTGCCATCTTTGTAGTACTGCTCTAAAATTGTCAAAGTCAGAGCCAATCTCTGCGTCTTGTGTCCGCCCATCAGCATTTTCAGAACCCATCTTGTGCAAACCTTGTGATAGCCTAGCCTCACTGTGATAATCTTGTAAAGAACAGTGCTTGAAATTTGTGGAAATTCACGCGAAAGTTCTGAAATTGTGAAGTGCCATTTTTCACTCTGAACAAGATTATCACTCACTACAGATGACCAACCACTTCACTCTTCATTGTGAACATTTGTTCACCCAGCTTTGAATGTTCTACATCATTCATTTTTTTTTATTGCTAGTGGGGTGGGACTAAGTCCCTTGTACTGCGGCCACTTCTGGCCTACTGTACCAGCCCCAGATGACATGTGAGGGTGATTGTGGAGCAATTGGTGGAATGAAGATTGGCAAGGGAAACCGAAGTACTCGGAGAAAACCTGCCCCAGCACCACTTTGTCCACCACAAATCCCACTTGACCAGACCCGGTTCTATACCATAGTCTTACAGTTCATTCACTCATTAAATTTTTGCTGTAAACCATGCATAATTCACAATTTCTACAGCAATAGTTTTTTGCATGAAGAGAGCAAATAACACAAATTTTGCTGTTGGCACAATATTCAATTGCAGGACACATCATAACTCACACTGTAGAGACAAGAACAAACATCAGGTGACCAGTTATGTGATGGTTTACTAGGCAATGAGTCATGTGACACCACCTTGCATGTGTGAGCTATCCCCCGCTCTTATATTAGTTGCCTAAAATAAATGAAGGTTATTTTCTGAACAGCCCTCATAAAACAACCTGACATTCAAGTACTGAGGGGCTGCACCAAATACCCCTGGGTCAGGTTAAAGTACTCTTGTCAGTAAAAGTTTTAAGACGTGTGGATGTTTGAACAGTTCTGATGGAGGTGAGGATGATTTAATTTTGGGCATTCATAATATAAATTCAGATGGCAATGACAGCAGCAATGAAGGATAATAAAATGCAACTTTTAATTTCTTTCTTCTTGCTACTACAGTTTTATCACATACTTGTGAATATTTCTAGCACTGGACCTAACTACATTAATATAATTTATTATCATAGTTCTACACTAGGAATGACAAGGTCTGATGACATTATGTACTAGCTCTAATGCACAGAAGCATGGAGTAAGGCCACCTGTCAGGCAGTCAGTGCAATGCTGCCACCAACAATTCATAAAGACTTTACTTTTTTGTCTCTATGTTTTCAGGAAAAAAATAGGTTCAAGTTAACCTTGAACCACATAGTCGTATGTATCATGCATTTACATCTGATCATATTTTTTCCTACAATTATTAATTAGTTAATATTTTATAAAGGACCAAAAGCATTTAAATACTGAAATTTTAAACAATTCTATTCTTCTAATCAAATTCTGGCCAACCTCATTTAAGCAGGATTATCTTCTAAGATCCATAAACTCTTTAACTTTATTTGAAACAAGGAAGAACTACCTAAACAGAGGGAGAAGTATATTTGGCACCTGTTTACAAGAAGGGTGATAAAACTGACTGTAATAATTATCAAGGTATATTAATGCCATCAACTTCATACAAAATTTTATGCAGTATCTTTCAGATAAGGTTAAGTTCATATGTAGACAAAATTACTGGGGGATCTTAGAGAAATATGATAGTCGGCTGTGGAATGGATTCATATACTCAGAATAGAGACCAGTGGCAAGCTCTTGTGAACATGGTAATGAACCTCTGGATTCCATAAAATTCCGGAGTTTTTTAAGTCGGTAAGAAATTGTTGGCTTCTGAAGAAGGATTCAGGTACAAGGAGTTACTTATTTCTGATTAGACTTTAACTGCTTATGGAGAAACTCAAGATTTTAGTTGAGTTTCATTGTATGGAAGATTTACTGTACACTGAAATAAAATTCTTACTTGTTTTGCTTCTTCTTTGTGTTCCCTTGCAGGCCTTTGAATTCCTCTCCTTCCTTCAATTCAAAGAACCTGGGTAAGACAACCTCTTCTTTCTCTTCTGCTTTCCATCGCTCCATCTTTTCTTGACGCAGCAGATGATGTTGATGTTTCACTTCTTTAGTCCACTGTTGGTCATCATCTGAACTGGAGTCAGAATCTGAGAGGCTTTCCTCATTTTCAGATCCACCCTGTAATAGTTAACACCTGGCTTCAATCATGTCCCTCCTGTGATGATTACTACTGGGGTGCTGAAAAGTGTAATTCTTCTCATATTTTCTTTTCATCATTCCTACTTGCACACAACAGATTGTTTCCTCCACCCTCTCATGGATTGGACTGGCCCCCTTTCTAGGAACCTGCTTATATAATATAATCCTACACACCCTGACTCTGAAGATGGAAGCAACATGTTTGTCTGAAAAGTTTGTATCCACCTAAAAAAATATATACAGTTACAACCCAGAAGATCAGGATCTGAATAACCACCGCTATGGAAACCAATAAACATTTCGGTACAGGCAGACCAAGCAATCTGTGCTTTCATGTACTGCATGCCCCAATTTATACACTATTAGTCAACATGTCAGAACTTCTGAAGAAACACATGCCAGTTCAACTTATGAGGCTGCCAATTTACAGCCAAAATAAACATCTGATCACCAGTCATATTTTACATCTCAAATTTGGTTGTCTAATGTCAGATGCAGTGAGTATCTTGATGTAAGGCCTCTGACTCTATGATTTACTTTAACCATGTTAGTAAATGTGAAGGGGTTGGCAAAACTTTTAACTTGTTTTGAAGTATTGTAGCATGTAGACCACATGCACAGCCACAATTTTTACCTCAGTAATACACGACTAATACATTGAATACATTGCTGTCTCGTCACCAAATGCAGGGCAAAATCATGACATAAAGATAGGAAACAGATGTTTTGAAAATGTGGCACAGTTAAGATATTTGGGGACAACGATAACAAATCAAAACCTGATTCAGGAGGAAATTAAGAGGAGAATCAACTAGGGTAATGCTTGTTACCATTCATTCCAGAACCTTTTGTCTTCTCGCCTGCTGTCCAAAGACATAAAAATGAGAATATACAAAACTATAATTTTGTCTGTGGTACTGTATGGGTGTGAAACGTTGTCTCTGACATTAAGTGAGGGATGTAGACTGAGGGTGTTTGAGAACAGGGTGTTGAGGAGAATATTTGGACTGAAGAGAGATGAAGTGACAGGAGGTTGCAGAAAACTGCATAATGAGGAGCTTCACAACTTGTACTCTTCTCCAAGTATAATTAGAATGATCAAGTCAAGGAGGATGAGGTGGGCAAGTCATGTAGCACGAATGGGGGAGACAAGGAATTCGTATAGGATATTGGTGGGAAAGCCAGAAGGAAAGAGACCACTGGGAAGACCAAGGCGTAGGTGGGTGGACAATATTAAAATGGATCTCAGAGAGATAGGATGGGATGGTATGGATCGTATTGGTCTAGCTCAGGATAGGAACCAGTGGAGGGCTCTTGTGAACACGGCGATGAACCTTCGGGTTCCATAAAATTCTGGGAAATTATTGAGTAGCTGCAGAATTTGTGGCTCCTCCAGAAGGGCTCAGCTCCATGAGTAAAAATACATGAATAACTTATTTCTATTAATAGTTTTAACTCACTGAGAACAAGAATATGATGATAAAGCAAAATTGGGATAGAATGCTTTAGATCAATTGAATGCAGACTTCTAAAATATAAAAGATGACAGTTATCATTTACATACCTGCAAAGACAAAAACAACACCGTCTAGTGTGACTATTTAAGTTTTATCATTTGAAAACTCATCACTGTGTGATCACATACTGCTGTGACTGTGAAAGGTTGAACATTGTGTACATTGTGTATTTCAGACATTATATATGTATGTATATAATTAACATCTATTGTAATAGTAGTTTCCGGAAAAAGTATTGATGCCCTCTGAGGATGATCCATAGGGATTGAAACATGTAAGGGTGATGAGTTTTCAAGTGATAAAACTTAAATAGTCACACTGGACGGTGTTGTTTTTGTCTTTGTAATTGTCAGTGTGACGGACCAGAATGAAACAAATCAAATACATACCTCCACTTCATCAAATTGCTGGTGCATAAATTTCTTCTTCAGATCCTTCATGCGACTCTTGTCAAGCTGAGACACAACAGGGTTCAAAAGCCTGAACGAGATAAAATAAAAGTTATCAACAGTTAAACTAATTCAGACTAACATGACTCATCAGTGATACTAATGTTCCCATCATTGAAGAAACACTGAAAGCACAATACAGAGTAAACAATTTCCTATTATAACATTACAAGTTACAAGTTCAACCATTTACCTGTACTCTTCAGCAGTTTTGTCCACTTCAAAATCTGGGTTCTCAAACAGAGCCTTGAATCGATCATCTTTCAACAGATTAGTACCACTTTTGTTCCTCTTCTTCTTCTTCTCCTTTAGCTCTTCATCCATCAGCTTCAAAGCCAAGTCTTTATTGACTTTTGGTAGAGTCTGCAAGGGAAGGGATAGTACAGCTCACAATACAGTTTTATTTAATAACTGAACACTTCCTTCCATGTATTAAGTGAAAATTTTCCAAGTCTACATTGAACACGCACTAAGAGCACACACAAATAATAATCATATAATTCTACCTAAATTCAAGACAATGTATTAAGCTGTCCAGAGAAGTACAAAATCATAAATGCTTAATGTTTAATGTTTTAAGTTTTAAAATGTAAGAAGTGATGCTACAGAGAAGGAAATGTCTTATAGCCTCTCTGGCTCCAGTCATATGTTAATAATGTCTGACAACTATGCACATGATAAAATAAGAGCAGACAGCCAAGCACAGCAAAATTCCCAATTATTGATACTCTGGTGGAAAACAGATATGAAGGAAAATGTTAAACAGAGGCCTGAACACTGAGTTTACTGGCTTACAATAACTAAAAGTGAACATCATAAGACTGAAACATCCTAAATTGAGAAATATTAAATAATGACTTAATATAATTTACTGAACATCATCATGTTATAACATAAAATTACATTTATTTATTCAATATCCCAATATGTTTCAACTCTCAAAGAGTGATCACTAGGGGTATTATATAAGTCAGTACTTTTAGTATAACCATTCAAGGTTTGTACTAGATCATCTGTTAACCCGTTGCCGTGGTTCGTCGTGTATGTTTCGTCAGGGATTTAAATCGTCTGGGGGGGTTCAGCGTGTATGTTTCGTCCAGCTGCACACCTATGTTATAACGCCCATAATAATTGATGGTTTTGCTGTAGATTGTTAGATTTTTCGCTGGCCTGTTGTCACAAGAACAGAGTATACTAAGCCAACGAGTTTAGCTGAGATAAGTCATCGTTACATATGCCTGTCTTGCAGCAAATTCGTGTTGCTTCTTGTAGCGGTTTCGTCACTCAATGGCGTATTTGCTTTGCTTGTGAAGTAATAAACACCAGAGAGGTGATGTGTGCTGTTGTATATAATATCATATTGCCCTGAGCTGGCCACACAAACACATTCCATTGGAATTCTTAGAAGAGGGTTGTCCAAAATGTTATTCTCGTAAAATCGATTGCTTTCGCACAGTACATAGCACCCATTTCTTAGAAATACGCCACAATTTAAGGCAGAACACTGTGGTCACCCCCTGAGACGATACGGATGTGTGTGGGGGAGGGAAAAGTACCCATTATCGCTCCAGTTGACGCCATTTTATCGTACTGACCTTGGTGGTCGTTTCGAGAGCCAGCTCTGTGTTTAGACTAATGCTTCAAGGCGTCACCTGCTTACATAGCCGAGATACCGGGTGCTCATATTATAAGGCAAGGTTATAAAACCAACTTTTAAGATCATTTTAGTGAAAGTTTCATCCTTCAAGGCGTACCATTCTCTGCTCAAATACTAAATAACATGCTTCCATTGAAGATATAAAGGGGGTTCATATTATAAGGTAAGGTTATAAAACCACCTTTTAAGATCATTTTAGTGAAAGTTTCATGTTCCTATCTCATAGAATTTAAGAACAATGATGAATAAATAATTTTCGAGCAAAATTTAAATGGCCGGCTGAATATATTACCGCAGGAGCCGCGGCCGCGGAATTTAAATGACCACGTCAAAAGGTTAATCCTAAAACTTTATATCACAATCAAAAATAAGTATGTTACAATCTAGAGACATTATACTAATGTCTTCAGTTTTTAGTGACACTAAAATTTTTATATTATAATGTCTAATTCATACATCGTTCTTCAGTTCTTATATATATACATTAATATGTATGATACATCAACATCTGTATAAAAAATGCAGGTTGTTTGTCTCTAGTTAGGTTGTCCGAGGGGGCATTTCCTTTGTTTTTCATAAACAGAATGGCTTCTTCTCTTGCTGTGCATTAGGTTATTGGGAACGTGTACAGTCCTGTCTCTGGCATTGTTTATTAAATTCTGGATATTACAGATCATCAGTTCATACTACTGAATAAATATATATTATTTTATGTTGTAATTTAATAGTGTTCAGTAAATTATATTACATCATAATAAATTACAACAGTAAACAAACCAATGAAAGAAAAAACTAAAGAATACTATTAAAAAGTATAATTATCTAAAAATATAACTTTTGTATTAGATCCTTAGTGTCTGTGAAGATTTTTATTCTAAAAACTTAAATTTGGAAGCGTGTTTGCATGCCTAAACACCATGTCCTGAAAGCATATAAGGTAAGTGTGAAAAAGTCACACAAATTCTTAGCCTCAGCAAGTCCTGATGACGGGTGGTCAGCTTCACAGTTTGTCCACTTTACCTCAAAGAGAAGAGCCACAGACAACCATAGTATAAGGGCTCGATACGCTCCAAGGTTTGTCTGGATATGGAGGCGTAGAAAATAAATTTTTCAATTATGATTCAAAACTTGGTTTTCCAGCCTATAGCCAGTTGACGGCCCTAACCTGGCTTGGCTTAGGTAAACCACACTAAGAAAAGTAACAATATGTAAGTATCATATTTATTTGTTGGAGGTTAAAAGTATACTGCAAGCAGCAGTGCTGAAGATTCAAGCAATGTAGGAACATAATCTTATTTGCAATACTATTCCAATTCAGCTGTTCTCCCGCGTTTCCTCACCTTCAGTTTCACACGGTTTGTCCTATCTTCTTCAATCCTTTCCCTGATCTTCTTCCTTTTGTATTCTTCAAATGCAAATGGTTCTGCTACAGATTTTGCCTTCTTGTAGAGTCGTATATCGACAAAGAATCCATGCATGTAGGCTCTCAGGAGGTTTGTTCCTGACAAAGTAATTGTTTATCATTTCACAATAAAAATGTAATAAGCACATAAGTGCAGAATGTTAAAATTTCATTATAAAATTTGAAGTTATTTTACTTCCTGGATAAATTTTACACTGGTAGTTAACCGTAATTATTTTTTAATTATGAGGGGAGGAATAATTCTGTGACTCGAGGAGGTATCCTTGGAAAATTAATAATCTGATGAAAATGAGGTCAAAGACATTGCATGTACTTTCTCATATTTGACCAACCATGACCACAAGACAGCCTTCATAAATTACTGAAATGTAATAAATAATCACTAGAGCTGTTTTTGATAAAATTATCACTTTGTGTTTTGGGGTTTCATGTGAAAACCCTGTTTTTGGAGCTGCAACGTTCATATTCACTGGGCATTGACCTATGAGAGATAAAGTCTTGAACACCAAATACGAATACAATTTTTAACCGCTAGGCACTACTGAGGTGGATGTACGTACGTATCTACCTACCTACACATATACACACGCACATAATGTACTACAGCACAATACTTCTATAAAACAAACTGCAAGACTACAGGTAAGCAGATTACGTAAAATGGTAATATATTGTGACATGTCTAACTGTTGCTGGGAAACGGGAGATGGAACAAGTTACCATGAAGACAGACCCTTGAAAAACGGTTGGTTGCCAAGTTAAGCAACAGTAAGGAAAGCGGTGTTTCTCCATGCCATGCTGAGTAGACCCGAAGTGAGCTGAGCCGAGACGTGCTGGTTGCTACGCAGCGATAAACAACTCTCGGCAGCGTTGCCTAGCAAAGCCTTTGTAAACACAGCATCATGCAACAAGGGAGCCCATGCAATGACTGTTGCTAGGCAATCAGTAAACACAACGTTACACAACAGTGGTACCCATCACATAACTGTTTTCTGTGTTGTCCATGCCAAGCCTAAATAAGAAGCAGTGAACACTATTCAGTAGTGAGTGAGTAGTGAGTATTGAGTAACCAGCGAGTTGCAATCTAGCAGTCACCGAGTTGGGTTGTATCGAGTGCATGCAGTGACTAGAACAGGAGAAGTAAGTGTGATACTGCCGATGGCAGTAGTTGAGAAGCTGTGAATTGTATAACTGTAAGAGCGAGTGGAATAAATTCGCTAGATCCAAAATGGCGTGAAGTCATTTGTCGCGTTATACACCCAACACATGACAAATTGGTGTCAGAAGTGGTTACGAACTTACACATGCAAAACCACGTAAAAAAAAAAATGTGGAGTCACAGCAGATGATGGAACTGCTGCTGAAGGAACACGTGACAATATTTATGTGGAATTTCTAGACCCTTAAGCAGGACTCTTCATTGCAGTTTTCTTTCTAATCAAAGCAGTGCAAACATTGTACCCATTAAAAATATGTCATAAATTGAATCTTAATCCTTTGTATAAACTCATGGACTCTTGACTGCAAATGCAAATTTGTTGATACATTCAGAAGTCAACTTCATTTATTCCATTATTCACAGTTTTTCTTCAGTGGTCTCCATCTGACAAGCTATGAAATCCCTGATCACTACTTCCAATCAGAAAGTGGTTACAGGTATATAAATTTGACTTTATGTGTATGCAAGAAATCTTTAGACCAATCTAAAAATATATGCTGTGCAAAAAGTGCACATAAAGAAGTATAAAGAGAATGTGCCATATGGATGGTGTATTTTAAGTTTCTGATGAACAAGAATATATCATTTTCATTACCACTTAAGAATCATATGACCTTGGCATGTGAAACGTGTACACTGGCATGTTACAAGTGTATATATTGTTCAGTTACTGCCAAAACAACAACCATTTTGCACAGCTAACATATTGTATTTTTTGCATTTCCTTAAAATGATCCCTAAATAAATATCACACACTTTTCATAGATTGCTATACAAAACTGATACTCATTCCTACCTCACAAATCCTTCTGGCTGTCATGTTGGTACTGTTGAGCAAAAGGTGTTAAAATGTACCAAGAACTCTCTACTGGCACGATGTTCAGACCAAGTTTCACAAAAACAGGTCAATTAGAGGGACACATGAAAAAGACACACACAGCTTGCTAACAGGGTTCCAAAGAAAGAACATAAAAAAAATTTGGGCTGAAAGGTTTATTTCACTTGATCAATTTTCAAATGCCCAATTAATCATAACAAACCTGTTTTAAATAGCATTATTTTGAAGCTGTTTTACAGTATTTACAATTGTTAGCATATTAAAAATATCTGCCCTAGTGAGATATACTGTGTGTGTACTATCACAGTATTTAATTTTGAAGTCCTACCCATCAGATGATCCAAACTCAAATCTTGCAATTCTTTCCTTGTCACAAACTTGTAGTCATCATATACATTATCCATGTGCTTCTCCTCCAGTTCTTCTGTCAGGCTATCCAGAAAGCTGCACCACCGTGGAGCTGGACCCAAACTCTGCAATCGTTTACACAACAAAAGAAATTTAATCAAAATTCAAAATTGCTATTACCAATTATGCACGTACCTGTATCTGTATCTTTATTTTAATTCCATAAATCATTACTGGCTACCAAAGCCATCAGATACAGAACATGTCACATATGCATACATTAGTTCTGAACACAGAACTAGTCACCTTACAACTACATTCATAGAAGAAACAAGAATTACACATAATTCAGAAATTTAACAAGCATATAGGACCCATCAAATTGACAACACATAATTGAGATCAAAGCCTAAATATATAAACATATATCTGATTATAATAAATTAATTTATACAATGTACTGTGCCTATAACATACATAAACAGCATTATAAAAGGTTTAATTCATCTTGTATTTAAAATATCCAGCTAATGTACAAAATGAATGGAAGTACAAACAATTTTTCATGGCTGATTTAAATTGCTTTGTATTATGGGACAAATTATTTATTGGAACAGGCAAACCGTTGAAACACCTTAATCACAGCATAATATGTTCCCTTATGATAAACTGACAAAGGAGACAGCGCTGTGAAAGCCTCAAATCTTACAAGCTGAACTTAATTTGGGTACAACTGTATCTACACAAGTCTTCCAAGAAAATGTGTTGTTCAGTGTTAGTCCAAGGAATTTTGTATTACAAATATTCACTTTCTTCTTGTTCTCATGGATTATATTTAAATTGATTAAAGGACCAGTCTTAGTTGTGAATTGCATAAATTGTGTCTTATCAACATTTAGTGACAATAAATTAGTAGTGAATAATCTATTTATATCTTGAAGAACTATATTAACACTGTTTTTAAAATTGAGAGAGTTAAGGCACGTAGGTGAGTCAAATGAAAACTGTAAAACTGAGATAAAATGTAAAAACTTACAGGAATATAATATGTCTGTATTTTTGGGTCCTCATTGGCAGCAAAAATCATTCCAGTGTTGGGTACCAGACAGAGACCATTGAAGTCTGCAGCAGCTTCAATAGATGTAAACAATTTCCCCTGTACAATAAAATGAAAGCATTCTACACTGCATTCACCATCATGTATCCACATATCCTTATTTTACACACACTACTTCAACTACATGGATTGTAGGTTTAATTTCAGAACTTGGTATGTTGCATATAAAATAGCAAAATTTACCTCTGCTCTATTTTAGAGTGTACCAGTGTACTGAGATCCGAGGAGATCACTTTGAAGGGCAAAAAATACACTTTACAAAAATAACTTTTTTTTCTGTATTTATGACATTTGAGGTCTTCACAGTGAGCACTGTTCCCTGTGTCATGTACAGGGCACAGCAACATAAAACTACCCCTAATAATATGATGGAACTTCCTTCCCCCTTCTTCTGGTTCCTCCAAAATATTTGCAGTCTTTTTATTAGCTAAAATGATGGGAAACACAACTGGGACTGCTGATATCCATAACAGGAAATATAATGTTCTTTCTCTAGATGGATAATACAGCAAGAGCTTGCTGAAATTCACCACGCAAATGAAAAAATAAGAGTATTTCTGTACATCTTTCAACATTTAATAGCTTTCAATTTTGCAATAAAAACAGACACACTAGTAAAGTCCTATGAGCCACAACACAAATGCATATAGTGACCATGGCAGTGAATTTTCACGCGTCTAAACACGGAGGAGATAAAAGTGAGCTGATGGCTTCATGCTCCAGCTGCTTGGGTGGCAAAAAGAAAAACCCCTAGCTCACCAGGAACCAAATCTCATTATGTATCCCTTAACCAGTCAATCTACTGACCGCTACCAGTATGCTGAATCATCAATAATACAAATCATATGCATAATTACACAAAAACAAAAATTAAAATTTCAATTAGCTAATCTGCATTAAAACAAAGCCACAGTTTACATACTGTCTGTTTCTCCCAAATTTTAATGACAGAACTGTCCATTGACAGAACCAAATCTTGTGCTTCATGGAAGTCCAAATCATGGACAGGTAATCCATACATATGGTCCTTAATTCGGAAAGGCCTACTGGATCTAATATCATATAAGAGCACTTGTCCTGTTGCAGTACCAACACCAAGTGTCAGGCTTCCTTGGAACTTGAGTGCAGTTACTGATGGGAAAACTTCCAGTCTGAAGAAAATGCAATGTATTTATGAATGTCACACTTAGAATAAAATGTGGTTATGGATCATAATTATAAGCAGTGTTTTTTGCAAAGCCAACAAATTTCCATTGATGTTTCATGTGTCTCTCTTCTGGCAGTATACAACAACAGTCTATACCAATAACAACAGCAACAACAAGAAGATGAGATTAAATAAGGACACACTTTTTAGTTTACTTTAGGTTCATGTTCTGTTACTAAAGGCACAAAGTATTTCCTGTCGTTCACTACACAAAAGGACCGCGAGACTTCCTTATGGAAAAAAAACCTGACTTTTCACAAAATTTACATATGAATTTCTTACTGCAAACAGAAAATGAATGCAGAACAGATGACCATAAAAGTTATCTTCCCATTTCATTAAAAATAATCACCTCATCTCATCTTCAAAAGTTCTGCAGAGAAAGTGTGATACATAAAACTATATAAAAAAATTGACAGGAGAAAATTTTGATGTCAAAAGCTTCATGTAACATTGTTGTTGAACAGAAATAAGGGGAAAGGAAATGTCATGGCTTGTTGAACCTTTTGCAGTGCCGAAAGTAGAACACAGAAAAATTATAAACACCTGATGTGCTTAAAATTTTAAAATGTAGTTTCATCTTCATGATGAAATCATAAAAATACTAATTTCTGGATACAATTATTACCATTCAATTTGAAAATTGTTCTTGTCCTGTCTACTTTCCAATATACACAAGAAAACGGTAATTTTGCTACTTGTTTTGTTTGCCTGTGAAAACTGGTCTCTTACTTTGAGGAAAAATGCTCTGGAAAACATGTGACCCGAAAGGGATGGGCTTATAGTTAGAATGGGGAAGACAAGGAAAACACTAAATTCTGATGCAAAATCCCACTGGTAAATTACAATTTAAAGACTGAGAAACAGATAAGAGGATTACATTAAGATTTATCATAGGTAGAGTGAATGTAATCATGGGAGGTGGATTGAACTAATACAGGCTCTGTCCAGTGTTGAGATTATTAATTATTTGTGGTACTGAACCTTCGGGTTCTGTTCCTACAGGGTAGGAAAGATATCTCTCAGCCAAATATCTAAATAGATATCTCCAGAATATGAAGCAGGAGAATTACACATACATTGTGACATTCAGCATGGGCTTCAAAGCAAATACCGTTACATTACTGCAAACTGTATTTAATTTCAGTTATATCTATCAGGAAGATCAAGAAAATTACATAATATGGAGCTTCTTAATTTGTACTCTTCACCAAATATTATTAATTAGAGTCATCAAATCAAGGAGGATATAATGGATGACACACATCATATATACAAAATTCCAATTCAAAAACTTCAAGGGACCACTTCAGACCTAGGCAGAAATGGGTAGTTATATTGAAATTGGTATTAAGAATTTAACAGACTGGAGTCATATTGTTTAGGATATCGCACAAGGGTGGAATGTTGGAAAACAAAGTACTGGATCTTCAGGTTCAATAAGAAGGCTGGGAATTTCATGACCAGTTAATGACTACCAACTTTTCAATTTTTAGAAAGATCTACTCCATGAAATTACACATTCATTCACATCTAACAGTCACAAAAGTTTGCCAGAATATTGTATTTCACATAGTGTACTCACTGTGCATCTGTGATGCTAAGGGCACAGTCCAGAGTACCAACTCTACCTCTGGTGCGGGGATCCCATGCCTCCACTTTACCTTCCTGTGTTCCACAAACAAACAATTGATGCACTGGATTTATGGCACATCGGTTCACCTCTGAAGCAGCTGTCACCAGAGGATTAAGAAATTGGCCTTGCTCCAAGTTCAGTCTGTACACCTCTGGCCTACCAAATCAAATGCTGATACTATTAATATATCAAATTTATATCAATTTAATTTCTTCAATCATTCATCAGTAGAATATTCAGTGACACTGAAAAGGATGCTGTAAGATTATGAGACACAAGATGAATATGTATGGCAAAATGGGAAAAAATGGTCATAGCAGTTTCAGCAGTATCCCAACATTTGCTTTGAAGGAGTGGGAATACCATGACCAACCTCAGACAGGACACCCAGTGTCTAGATCAAACACAAAAGATACCACCTGATAATTTCAGGATTACTGCGATCTGATCACCTCAATTTTTTTCCTTGGCACTACAGCCCCAGTGGGCCTAGGCCTACCTCCATGAACTTCTCTGTTCAATTTGGTTTTTCTAGATCTTACACATTTGGTAGGACTCCTTGGGCGGGTGATCAGCTCATCGTAAGGCCTCTACCTGTACACAAACACAGAAAAAAACGCACACACACAAACTAAACATCTACGCCCTGAGTGGGATTCGAACCCACGATCCTGGTTTCCAAATGAGCGAAGACAGTACATGCTTTAGACCGCTCAGCTACCGTGACCGGCGATCAGCTCAATTACTTTACTTTATTTTTTTAAATTGCTTAGTGGGCGGTTGGGTCCAATTGGGTCCACTCGGCACAGCAGCCACTGATTGGCCTATTGTAGCCTGCCCTGGGCGATTATGATGATGGAGAATTTGGTGGAATGAAAATTGGCAGGGGAAACCGAAGTACTCGGAGAAAACCCGCCCCAGTGCCACTTTGTCCACCACAAATCCCACTTGACCAGACCTGGGATCAAACCTGGGCCACCGCGGTGGGAAGCCAGCGACTAACCGCTTGAACTATGGTGCGGCCTTACTTTATTTTCCTTCATATGAAGTACTGCGACCTTGAAACATTTGTTTTTAGATATTAATTTGATATTACACCACTGAGATGGCCTCTGATAGCATGACATACATACCACATTTCATGAATACTGTTCCATGCATTCAGGCAATATTATGGTTTTGCCTCAGAAATTTGAATGGCACAATTTGAGCACATGGAGTATGCCGTTGAGATGGCTTAATGTGGTAAGATATACATACCAAGTTTCTTGAAGATTGGTGCAAGTGTTCAAGCATTATTAACCCTTTCACTGCTAGTATGTTAAGTAACTCTCAGTACCCTCTGTGCTTAATTATTTTTTTATAAATCTTTTATACACAATTTAAGTGCAAAGTATGAAAATTTGTGATAAAATGTAACTAATCTTACCTCAGAGAGGGAACAGGCATCAGAAGTTGCAAAAATGTTAAATTATTCAGAATTTTTCACAGGGGAAAAATCCATTTAAATCATGGTTGTCCAAGATGGCCAAAAAAGTACATAATTCAATATCCTAGTCTTATCACTATGTCACATGTTCGCCGAAGTTCACAATGTTACTTAAAACTATTATAGAAAGCACCATGCACTATACGAAGCCATTTTTACTAGCCCTGTGAAATACCCGCTCCACATGACCACGGAGTGCGTGCCTCGCTGTGCATATGCAACCTTTTACATTTCTTAAGCTAGAGGGCAGAAGAATGTAGCCATTGAAATGAATGATGTTATATTACGTTCCCAATAGATGACTCTATACACCTGCCAAATTTGAATGTGACTGGTGCAAAGAAACCTGAGATCTGAAACTCTTAAATTTCCAATATGGGTTTTGTCGATCACAGCAAGGACGCCATGTTTTTCAGAGATCGACATATGTCGACCGCAGCAGTGTAAGGGTTAAGGTTTAGCTTCAGAAATCTGAGAGGCTGTAATGCTGGTATTACTGATTGCAGGGATTTATAAATTTTGCTGTTGAGATGAGGTCATGAGCCATGATATACACACCAAGTTTCATAAAGATTTGTTCAGGCATGCAAAAGTTAATAGGGGGCATAGACACACATAGACAGGAAGGTGATCTCATAAGCCAACTTTTACTTTTTCAAAATAAGGAAAGTAGGCTAAAAATGTTAAATCTGTCAAAGTGTAGTCTTAAACAGCATCTATGGTAGTTTGAATATAGCACACCAAATTTTTGTGTAGAACTTAACCTATTTTTATACCATTACTATTTAAAAATACAGTTTCCTTCAATAAAAGAAGCTGAATAAGTCTATGCCCATCATTGATTTCTTTAAAGGTTATTACTATCTTAACAGTAACTTTACACAAAATGTGATTAAATACATGCATATGAGAGTTCAATGTACTTTACCCAGTTCCCACTACATAGAGGTCACAAGTCCCAGAATGATACTTCAGATCACGCCCAAATCTTGGTATCCGTAGTCGATAGTACCGCCCATGAGCTGCATGGAACTCTACATAGCGATCAGAGTGTAAGAAAACCACCTATAGGAGGGGAACATTTTAATACAGTTTCATGACCTGACACTTAACATATAAATAAAAAATGACACAAAAAGTTTTTACAGTATTAGTCACAGCTCTTTACAAACAAACAAGAATGCATTATGTGGAAATCATGTCTGTCCATTTGTCTGTGGCCTCCTATCAGCCCCTATATATATATATATATATATATATATATGATGGGGTATCCAAAAGAAACCGAACTAATTTTTTTGTGGGCAGAGCTTTTGTAGTACCGCGTTTTGCAGCTATGAGCA